AGGGTTTAAATAGGGTTTAGGCTGTCCCAGAAAGCGAAGATCCCAACACTCTGTATCACTAGCCCTAAACCCTAAACCCTTAACCCTAAACCCTAAATCCTAAACCCTAAACCCTAAACCCTAAACCCTACAGGCCCCATCACCCCACGTGGACAGAGCCCTCCGCAGGAACTTCTCCTGGTGCAGCGCGCGGCCTTCACGCAATGGCGAGGCCCCAGACCCTGAACCCCAAGCCGGCCCAAAGCCGAAAACTCTAAACCCTAAGCCCTAATGTAGGGGCTTCAATAACTGCCTATACTACCCTAAACCCTAAACCCTAAACCCTAAACCGTATTTTGGGGGCTCCTTATTATAATTGTAGTATAATATACCCCAAAACCGTAGGGTTTGATGCTCCAAAGCCTGGCCGGGCTTTACGTTTCCGAACCTACAAAAAACACCTAGTGACCCAGTGTTTCTCCCAAAGTATGAGCGGGTTTACCCTAAACCCTAAACCCTAAACCCTGTTTCTGCTTTGCATTCACTGCTAGTTGCCCCCTGGCAGCTGCTGTGACGCAGATGCATTGGCTCGAAGTGAGCTGGGACATCCTTGCACCGGTCTTGCATTACGCAGCCCCGGTTTAGGGTTCATGGTTTAGGGTTTAGGGTTGAGGGGACAGACGACAGCCTCCAGATCCCCAAGACAGGCCTCCTCCATGTGAATCGGCGAACAGGGGGACGTGGTCGCTGGAGCGAGGGTCAATAAAAACTTCTTCTGTGTGGTGGCCTGCTTGGCACGCGCAAAAAAGAAGCATGTAACAAAAGGATGGAGAGCCAGACAGATGGGCATTGGCCGCCACTCTTACCCTAAACCCTAAACCCTAAACCCTAAACCCTAAACCCTAAACCCTAAACCCTAAACCTTAAACCCCTAAACTCATGCAGAGGGCCTCTGCAGCCCGGCTGTAGGCCACTTGATATCGCTTTCGCGGAACTCCTTTCAGGCCTAAGTAGGGCTTAGGGTTTAGGGTTTAGGGTTTAGGGTTTAGGGTTTAGGGTTTAGGGGGTTCGGGTTTAGGGGGTTCGGGTTTAGGGGGTTCGGGTTTAGGGGGTTTGGGTTTAGGGTTTAGGGTTTCGGGTTTAGGGTTTCAGGCCTAAGTAGATATCCCCGATCCTGAGTTGGGACCCTTAAGCTCACACTCCTCAAGACCCTAAACCCTGAAAGCCCAAGACCCTAAGCTCTAAACCCTGAAAGCCCTAAGCCCTAAACCCTAAACCCTGAAAGCCCTAAACCCTAAACCCTAAACCCTGAACCCCAAGACTCTAGGTACTTAGAGAGTTGCAACTCCTCATCTCCCAAAGCACGGAATGCGAGGCTTTGGTTTGAGGGTGCGGGTACATAGATTAGGGTATAGGGTTTAGGGTTGAGGGTTCAGGGTTTAGGGTTTGGGGTTTAGGGTTTAGGGTGTAGAGTTCAGGGTTTATGGTTTAGGGTTTAGGGTTTAGGGTTCCTGTAGCGCTTAGTATCATAAGGGTTCTAGATCAAGGGTTCAGGGTTTCAGGGTTTGAGGGTTTAAGGTTTTGAGTGCCTGACTTCGGGACATAACTGATGGCAGCTACAGAGACAGCTACTGCTCGTAGATTCTCTGATGAGCCCTAAAGTAGCTTTGAACCCGAAGTTCGCAACCCTCTTGGGCTCAGGGTTTAGGGTTTAGTAGGCTTTTAGGGCTTTTAGGGTTTCGGGTTTCGGGTTTAGGGCTTAGGGTTTAGGGTTTAGGGGTTCGGGTTTAGGGTTTAGGGCTTCGGGTTCAGGGGTTTGGGTTAAGGTTTAGGGTTTAGGCTTTAGGGCCTTTTTGGCAAACCGAAAGACCTTAACTAAAGATTCGAAAAAGCGCCAAGCCCACCCTGCGCCTAGCCTTCTTGAACGTGGCCGTGCCGGCGACCATTCAGATCTGCAGCGGTTTGACAGCAATTGTCTTCAACTTGAGGGGTGGAGGATTTAGGCCTTCGAGTTCAGGGTTTAGGAGGGTCGGGGGCTTTGGGTTTGGAGTTTGACAGTCTTATGTTTGGCTGTTCCAAAATAAACGTGCCGTCGGCAGGTAGCAGATAGCATGCAGAGCCCCAGACCCTACATCCAAACCTCGCGCCCGAATCCCTAAAGCCCTAAAGCCCGAAACCCTGAACCCTGAACCCTAAACCATAAACCCCTAAACCCCTAAACCCTAAACCCTCAGCCCTAAAGCCCGAAACCCCTGAACCCTGAACCCTAAACCCTAAAGCCCGAAACCCCTGAACTCTGAAGCCTAAACCCTAAAGCCCCAA